CTTGTCAACCTCTCCCAGCCGAGAGATGAGCATAATAGTAGTCGATGGGGATGTACTGCACAGGCACGGCTGGGAGAGGGAACATTGGCCGTAGGATATAAACAAACACTGGAACTCAAAGTATGCATCTGTGCAGGGGGAGGGAGGGATCGGTACGTCTTCTTAACAGAGCCAAATGGATAAGTGTCATTAGCTTTTGAGGCTCCGTTCACACATAGCGGTAGTGTTTTCCTCACTGCGCAAACTTTAACATATGCGCGGATTCCGCACGTTTGCAGCTATTACTATAGCCGGAATATGAGTAATCCGCCCTTAAAAGTCTAAACAATGCACATTGCAATGCATTGTTTTTCATGTTTAGAGGTTTAGGTATTCGTACAGCTGAATACAAGCAGAAAACCGCATCTGTGTGAATGGAGCCCGACTGTCAAGCACCTAGCATTTTAACAATATGGTTGGCAGGTTTTGTTTCTCTAACAAAGTGCAAACCCTAACTGAATTAAATTTAAAACTGCTTTTATCCTTTTTCTTCCATTTTATAAAAATATATATCTCTATATAGATATATAGATAGATATATATATCCAACTAGCATAGATGATCAGTAGCAAAAAAAAAACCCAAACTTTTTAAACAATCCCAATCCCTGGTGGGAAGAGGCACTTTAGACCCTTCCCCAACTTTAAAAAGAAAAAAAAAAAAAACAATCCCATCATTGGTGGCGGTGGTACTTCAGGGCCCCGGCTCCACACTTTCCACCTCCAATCTGCCAATCATCCTCCTTCCTGCTGTCTTTACAAATATTCAGCCCAGTCACAAAAGGAAGGGATGTCTCTTCCATTGTGAATGGGCTCAATCATTAAATACTACCCGTGTTTACACTTTTGATGGCAGTGATTGGTTCACACTGATCACAAGGTACAGATCCATTCTGATTGGCTCTGCACATCGTGACTGTGACCTGTTTATAAAAGGCACCTTTAACAATATGGTGGTGGTTAAAGAAGAACTCTGGGCAAAACCTTTATTATCCTTTGCAATGGGGCTACCCTTGCTACAAAAAAAAAAATTATCTGCAATCGATCCTCCCAGACAGCTTGCTCCTAGACCGGTCCTTCCAGCCTTTCTTCCTCTCTGCTCTAGCAGTCCAAGGTCATCACTCTCTTGACACAGCGTATAGACGCGAGGATGCTGAGGAACATTACTTAGACAAAAAAGACCGTTTAACCCTTGCAATGCGGGGGTAGCACCACTGCAAGGGTTAACAAGAGTCGTGCCCAGAGCTCGGCCTCCTGTGACACTGACCTCTGACAGCGCTCTCCTCCCCGCCCTCCATCCTGACTCGCTGTCACAGGAGGCCAAGCTGGGTGGTGCAAAAGGAGAGCTCGGGCCTCCTGTGACACTGACCTCTGAAAGCAATCTCCTCCCCGCTTGTCCTCCTGAAAGGTTCTCAACTCCCCACTGGGCGCTGTTCTGTCAGAAAGGACACAGAGCAGCGCCCAGCGACAAGAGAAACCTGGGTTACACTGCTATTTCGACCAAATAAAATCTACTTTCAGCATTTTGCGCAAAGTACCATATTTGGCGGGAATTTCAGTGCATCACTATTAAAAGCGACTTGACATTACATTGAGATTTCACTCACTGGGTTCACATCTACATGTAACACAGAGCAGCTGATGAAAAAATCACTGAATACTGTTCAGAGGCTTTGAAGGTACTTGCAGGATGCCTAAGGTGAGAAGAAAAACATCAATGTGTACAAAGCAGGCATGACTTCTTGACCACCTCTTGAGGGGAGCGGGACAGTCGGTTACTTCCCTATAGGAAAACTACACATCAGTATGTGATAAACGAAGGTAGGCTGTGGAAGAAAATGGTGTCTGCATCGTCAGTAAAAGCTGCTCTCACACAATCATAAACCGGGTCAATATAAAAGATTCCAAACAAAAGCGCTCAGGTCTTTATGACAAATAAAAAAGGTAAGCTAATATTTAGTGCAGATGAACAGTTACTGCCTGCAAGAGCATGATCCGCGCTGGTCGCAGTGGATTTTCAGGAGATGGCACCATGAATGCCCAACAAAGGACACTTAACGGAGCCGATGGAGGAGAACGTGGCGAGGTTTTACTGGATGCGAGTGGAGAATTGTAAGGTGATGAGTGTTATTGCATAAAGAATAAACTGCTGAGCAGCGCATTTGAAGAAAAAGCAATAATGTATCGGGATATTGCCAGGTGTAATGGCTGCCGAAACGCAATAACTAAAGTACGTTTGATAACTCGCTGGAAATGTACAATGTTTACAATGGGCTTCATAAAAAATAAATAAAGACCTGACTGCAACAACAAAATGCTGATTTCATACAGGAAAATGAACCGGCTTAAAGCGGACATTTATTGTCCATTACACATAAAGCGGAACTTTACCCCCTTTTACTAAAAACCACATCAGCATACGGATATGAAATCTTACATTCATTACTTAACCGCTTGCTGACCAGGTGTTACACCCCCTTCCTGGCCAGGCCATTTTTCAGTATTCAGCGCTGCGGTACTTTGACGTTTATTCCGTCATGCAACGCTGTACTGAAATTTTATACCATTTTTTGGGGACAGATAGAGCTTTCTTTTGGTGGTATTTAATCACCACTGCGGGTTTTATTTTTTACTATAATTAGGAAAAATTACTGACGCTATCACATACGGGGGCTAATAAAACCCTTCTATGTGATAGCAAAATATGGAGACATCAGGGGTCTCCAATACTCCTAATCCCCCTAGGACCCCCCAAAAGAAGCTGATGAAGCACAGATCTGCTCCATTAGCTTCTTTCCAGCTTCTGAAGCTGCAGAGTGACACAAGAATGCGGAAGTGATGTATTATACAACAATTCCACATTCTTGCAGAGGAGAGGGGACACCGGAGGGAGCTCGTGACACAGGCGACATGCTGATCCTGGGCTCGCACCGGGCACAGCGGAGCCCGGGATCAGCGGGTCAACGGCGGGGGGGGGCCCGCGGAGGGGGGGAGCAACAATCGTTACCCCATACAAGCGATCGCTCGTATGTGAACAGGCATCGCTGCCTGTTCTTAAATATCGGGCATTTCCCGCTCGGGCACACTAGAGTGCGTGTCTGAGCAGACGTCTAAAGATGCCCGCTCAGATCTAGAGAGCTCCCACCCGGCCGTTTTTTTTTACTACGGCCGGCCCGGAGGTAGTTAAATAAACATTTTTCTTTTACTTACAATTATTGTTTCTCTACTTCCTGGTCCTCTTAGGCATTAGTGATGTAGCCCATGCTTAAGAGATGCATTCTGGGAAGGTTACATCAGCATTGTTGGGAAATCTCATCTGTAATCTCAGGAAAAGGCATTTTCCTCCCCTGAGATGATGTGCATGGTCACATGTCCTAGTCACATGTGGCAGAGTTCCAGGAAGCAAAGGGATATATATTAATCTGCCCTTAATATAAATGGGCGCTGTGAGAAGAAAAGGGGAGGAAATGAAAAATAAAAGGTATGCAAAGAATACAAAGCCAGCAATTATCTAGAAGTATCTAACAGTGAATCTTGTTTTCCTTCAGGAAACTCCATCCCAAAATCAAACGTTAAAATAAAATGACATTTTGTTCAACATGCGACAAGTGGCTGGTGGCATTAGGTGCTAGGCAGAGAGATGCCGCTCGTTGCTAGGGAGAGAGATCCCGCTCTCGTTGCTAGGGAGAGAGATCCCGCTCTCGTTGCTAGGGAGAGAGATCCCGCTCTCGTTGGTTTAGTTCTATAAAGGATATAAATAATTTTGTGTGCACCAAATGGCCTTAAAAAGCAGATATTACTTTGTGACGGTAGTGATTACATCATCACTGTGCTCTACATTGCATGAGCAGAGCTGTGGAAGGGGCCTGGCAGACCACACCCACTACAGACTTCTGAAAACTACAAGAGGGGGAGGAGACGAGACCAGTCACCCTGCAGAGTGAGAGCGCAGCAGTGACCGGTCTGTATTCCAGGAAGCTCCTCACACACAGAGATAAAACAGGAGTAATTGTCTGTAGGATTACTGCACAGACCTCAAAGAAACACAAACACCACCAATATTCAAGTAAGAATACACACGGCTCTTGCTTATAGTAGAGTTTACCTTTAAATACCCTTGTAGGTATTCAATAAAGCATTAGCAGCCGTTTTCTGCATTATGGCCGTATTAAAAAGTCCTGCGCCAAATTCATGAAAGCCGTGCTATGGTTTTCTTGTGGTTTCTGATGCGTGCACCAATTGCTGGTAATACTTATGTGCGACACACTTACATTCTGGCACTATGGCTGTGCAAAATCCACCAATTCCATAAAGCCTCCACGCAAACCCCGGAGCCCCGATTCCAGAAAGCCTCCACGCAAACCCCGGAGCCCCGATTCCAGAAAGCCTCCACGCAAACCCCGGAGCCCCGATTCCAGAAAGCCCCCACGCAAACCCCGGAGCCCCGATTCCAGAAAGCCTCCACGCAAACCCCGGTGCCCCGATTCCAGAAAGCCTACACGCAAACCCCGGAGCCCTGATTCCAGAAAGCCTACACGTAAATCCCGGTGCCCCGATTCCAGACGCATATACGCACACCCCGGTCCCCCGTTTTCAGGCGCATATACGCAAACGCCGGTGCCCCGATTCCAGACACGTATCCGCAAACCCCGGTGCCCCGATTCCAGACACGTATACGCAAACCCCGGTGCCCCGATTCCAGACACGTATACGCAAACCCCGGTTCCCCCATTGCAGAAGCCTATACACAAACCTCGGTCTCCCGATTCCAGAAGTGTACACACAACAAAACATTCACTTCTACACATCATCCACTTCAATTATGTTTTCACCATTTTACACGGTTCCAAGAACCGCCTATAAGAATGTCATACACGCACATCTGTTGGATCAGTCCAAGCTGGAGCATCCCTGAGATATGTCAGTGACGGTCCCTCTCATGTCTTCTCCCTCCACACTCACCAGTCCGTCTATCTGCACTTGTTTCACCGGGGTCTCAATGGCGGCGGCAGCAGCCACAGTACTGCTGGGTTCTCTGCGAGACGCCATGTTCACACCTGCAGCTGAAGCCGGAGAAAGAGAGAACACGCGCGCCGGAAACCGGAAGTGGTCGCGATTAAAGCGTCACGGCCTGCGTCCCCGTGCTATGCGGCCGCCATGTTAGTTATGGGCACTCTGTGCCCATCATTGCCTAGGTATCCTCTGAGGTTGTAAAATCCATGAATGGACTGAATATAGTTTTTTTTGGTCCTTGTTACATACAGTTGGAGCCATGATACAGCTGTAACGTTTAAATATAACCACAATGTAAACACGAAATTAAACACACAAAGGGGAATTTATCAAAACTGGAGCAGTTGCCTATGGCAACCAATCAGCTTCTCTCTTCAGTTTGTTCAGTTAAGATTTGACAATAAAAGAGAGAAGCTGATTGGTTGCCATGCACAACTGCTCCAGTTTGATAAATTCCCCTCACAATTTTTTCTGCCAGTAGTTTTGAATGTGTGTTTGGCTACTTTTGTGATCATGGCACTGGTGCCAGAGGGCAAAGTTTGGTGATTTCTTTTGTCGCAGTTATCCCTTTCACTAACAGTGATGCCTTTGCATTTTCTTTTTTTGTTTTTTTGCACTCACGTTAAAATCCACATTTTACGCCTCATAATTACTTAAACCCCCCAGAATTACAAATCTCACGCCCCCCAGACATTCCGGAAGTCTCCAGTTATTAGATAGTGGCTCCCTGACGCCCGCAAGTGAAACATAGTAGGGATACTGGCCCTTTAAATTTTTAAATGCGAGGGGCTGCCAGAGATCCCGTGCTTGCTGGGGACCTCAGGCAGCTATCTTTGACAGTGCCGGTCCGGTCGCACATCACCTCCTCCTTCCCTAGGCCGGCACTGCAAAAGGACAGCCCCACACCGAACGAACAGCCCTGGGTCCCGGCACAATCGCGGCACCCTCCTGTTCAGCCCTGGAGCGCCCAGCAGCCACCTGGGGAGCCCGGCACCCAAATGCAACCCTGGTAAGACCCAAATGCAGCCCTGGTAAGATCTGCATGCAGCCCTGGTAGGACCCAAACATTGCCATTCTCCATTGTTGTATAATCAATTATTATATAACAATAGAGAATAGCAACTGGCTATAGAGGACTACAAATCTCAGCAATCCATGATTGCTCGTTGCCATTCTCTATTGCTGTATAATCATGGATTGCTGGGATCTGTAGTCCTCTATTGCTGGTTGCCATTCTCTATCGCTGTATAATCATGGATTGCTGGGATCTGTAGTCCTCTATTGCTGGTTGCCATTCTCTATTGCTGTATAATCATGGATTGCTGGGATCTGTAGTCCTCTATTGCTGGTTGCCATTCTCTATCGCTGTATAATCATGGATTGCTGGGATCTGTAGTCCTCTATTGCTGGTTGCCATTCTCTATTGCTGTATAATCATGGATTGCTGGGATCTGTAGTCCTCTATTGGTGGTTGCCATTCTCTATCGCTGTATAATCATGGATTGATGGGATCTGTAGTCCTCTATTGCTGGTTGCCATTCTCTATTGCTGTATAATTATGGATTGAGTTAAAGTTCTTCTTAATTATAAAGAAATTGCCCTGAAATCATTAGTCTGTATTGTTTTAGAAAACAATGTCACATGTCCCCTTGAGAAAAAGTATAGTTGAGACGAGGTTGGGACGTCCAGCAAAATGCTGAAATCTGCCAAACAAGTGTAGCGCCCATCACCTTTGGTGAAGTGCTTACTATCTATTTAGTGATAACCAGGGCTGTAGGCAGCCTGGTTGAAATTTGTAGCAGCCAGCACATGGTTAATCCCAGGTGTCCAACCTTGTCTGTACCCTCTAGGGCGGAGTGAGACTGTCACATTATGGGACAGCCAATGGGTGACACTGTGATATGTGTACAGGGCAGCAGCCAGTTACTGGGCTTTTTGTAGCCAGTGATGTCTGCTGACAAAGGATATATATATTGGTGGGAGGCCATGTGCTTGCTCTCTTGCCTGGACCAGCCATGGACTGAGGTTGGGTCCTGTTCAGCCTGCCCCTAGGCTAGGCCGAGGCCTGGGGGTGGGAGTTGGCTGAGCTGCTGAAGGAGAAGCCTCCTTGAGAGTTTGCGGTCAGAAGAATGCCTGTAAGAATGGAAGAGCCAGGACCCGTGTGGGCTTTTGAAGTGCCTGATATTCAGAGGGACTTCTGAGTGGGGTCAGTGTTCTTCCAAGGATTGTGGAGATGTACTTCACGAAGACAAGATTTGGTGAGTCTGGAGTTCTGGAGGCCGGTGCACCTAGACCCTATACCCTCTCTCCCTAATTAGAAGTAAATAAACTGTTTAACCAGCATCTCACAACTGGAGCGGACTTCAATTTATGGGCACAAGAAGAGGGTGGTTAAAGCTAATGGGGCAGTTGGTGATCTATCCCTAGACTGACTAGATATGGACCTGTTCATCCAGCGGCTCCTTCGGGGGTGAGCGCTACACAAGCTACTGCTCAGTACAATGAAAGTTTGCCAAAATAATTGGAAAAGCCATTTTTTTTAGCTTTAGCGTGTAATAATAATTGGGGGGAGGGAGGGGGGGCAGTAGCCGGTGAAGCCACCTCCCTGAAATGAGTTTTCGCAGGTTAGGATGTCATATTTCCTAGACCCTGTAGAATAAAATGGTGGCAGTGTCATACTTTTATCTCACATATTAGTGCAACTGTTTCTCAAACACAATGTAGGAAGAGGAATCACCGGCACTCAGTAGAATAATCCAACATGTCCATTTATTGGACATAGACGTCACACAATCACAAGAGCCAACGTTTCGAGACCACGCAGGGTCTCTTCATCAGGGTATAAAGAGTGACACTCTTCATACCCTGATGAAGAGACCCTGCGTGACA